GTCTTACAGTTTCTATTGCTGTGAAGAGACACCGTGACCACAGCAACTCTTATAAAGGAAAACATTTAACTGGGGCTGGCTTACAGTTCAGAAGGTGAGTCCCTTATCATCATGGCTGGAAACATGGCAGCACACATGCAGACATGGTACTGGAAAGGGGCCGAGAGTTCTACATCTGGATCCTCAGGCAGTAAGAAGAGAATGCCACAGTGGTTCTGGCTTGAGCATCTGAGACCTCAAAGCCTGCCCCCAGTGACACACTTTCTCCAACAAGGCCACACCTACTCTTAATAGTGCCCCTCCCTATGAGCCTATGGGGACCATTTTCACTCAAACCACCAGACCATGGCCACCATGCCAGTTCCCACAGCTACCTTCCTACCCAGCCTCGCTCCCTAGGTCCAATAGCTTAAAGACAGAACTTGAGGAATTGGTTGAGGCTGATTGAATGGGCACATCACTCCATCAGTGTAAAAGGTTGAAGAACTCCCCTCACCTCTATGTTAGTTCTAGAAAACAGTCTGTAGAAATCAAAATAGTTGTTCCCATTTGGAAGAATCGGGGGGTGTTAGTAAAATGCTCTTTTTCTAAGTATAGATCTATTTTTTTTCTTAAAAAATAAACAAAAATAAAAAATAAAAAATAAAACAAAAAACATAGGACTGCTAAGAAGACTCCACAGCTGGAGATTGTCCACTGCCACAGTTGGTGGCGGGATGTACAGAGGTTTCTCCTTCCTTCCCAGTCCTTCATGAAGGAGTCAGGTCCCATGCGTGTCTCTCCTCTACCAACCCTGGGGCAGGGTGGCCATTGGAGGTAGCCTCAGCCAGAAGTGTGAATTTGAGAAAAACCCGAAGCCTAGGTCATTCTAGATGCACCTGCTAAATTTTAGCATTTACCCAGCAAGTGTCTCCCCTGCTAAGAATGATCTGTGTAGTCAAAGTGATCTGAGGGCTGTTGTAAATGCTCTGGCAGTGAAAGGTGCCCAGCACTGAGAGGCTCCAGCCGGTTCTGCCCCAGCCCTACCTGACCTGCATTCCGACAGGCCCAGTCTTGATGTGAGACTCATGTTTGTTGAAGTTTTAACCAACTTCGGCTACCCAGCAGAGGTGTGCCTGGGGTCCTTGCCTAGTGCAGAGCGGATGGTCTCTGTCTGGTCGGGAGGAGGTGAACCTCTTCTTTTGGGGTTGAACAGATGGTTCAACCATCTGTTGAGGCATGGCCTATGTCTTGCCTCTTCTCCCCAACCCCAGATCTTTCCTGCTCTGCCCTAGAGCCTCGTGCTGCTAACAAGGAAGACTTTCTGCCTCCGAGTTCTCTCTCGTGCTATACAGTCCTTTCTCCTTCTTCAGGGCCCACCTTTGATTCAATAAATCCTCATGGGCCCCTCACCCTCCCCTGCCAGCGTTTTCAAGATTCCATGTTCAATAATGCCCCCCTGAGACATCCATGGCTGGGTATATTCCGCCTGCTCCCCACCAATCTCTCTCTCTACCTCCTTTTACGAGCTCTGAGCCCTGTCATGTAAGGCACTGTTCTGTTCCCAAAAGATGGCCAGGGGCCTGTAGCATCTGGCTCCTGTGTGGAGAAGGCAGCTTTTCTCCTACGTGGTGTGCTGTTGCCTACGAGCTGAAGGGAACTTCTCCCCATGAGTTGCCCAAACCCAGGCCTGATTAGGCTCTGCTAACGGATATTCTTGGGGCTCCCTGCACTCTGCAGCCCACACTAAATACTACTATGTGTCTGACTGATAGCCATCTCCTGCATCCCATGACAAGCTTAAAAAGGCTGAGGTTCACCTTGCTCCATGGGCCCCCATCGGGCAACACCAACTGATTTTGCACTGAGGAGGTATTGGGGGAGACTGTACGCAGTTTGTTGTTACACCTGAGGGGAGGCCCAGGGATTCCATTATAAAATATTCAGAAACAGGCCCTCCACCGAGCAGGCAGCTTTCAACCCAGTCCTTACTGTAGGAGGACTGGCTGGGGTGCCGCCTGTGCCACCTGCTACCATTTGAACACTTGTCCCTTCCCCCACTTGCATATTGGAACTTGACCCCCAAGGTGACAGTAACAGGAGGTGAAGTATGAACTAACTCGGATGCCACCCTTCATAGTTTGCTCTACAGTGACCGGGAAGTGCTCTGTGCTCACCCAGCCCAAAGAAAGATGTAGCCAGGTATCTGTCAGCTTGCATGTCTTGAACCTTTTGTATGCTCCTCTCCAAGGGACTTTCTTCTACTCAAACACCCTCCACCCTCCATGCCCATTCTGACTCACCCAGGCAATGCCACCCACTGCCTTAGGAGCCTGCTGACAGCCTCCTCTGTAGTGGAGGACCATGTCTCTCTGGTACCAGAAAACATGGGCATATAAGAAAGAATCTAGGCAAAGAGAAAAAAATATGCTGAAGCCCTTTGTCCCTGGAGGAAGCAGAGCACACAGCACCCACCGAGTCCATCCGCAGATCGCCTTCAAGAACCAACCAACACTTCTAGTCTTCGAATTGTGCATTTTGTGCGGTAGGGACAGAACCTTCTAGATCCAAGAAGCCTAGTTACCCGTCACGCAGTCTGGGTATGTTATCACACACTATGAGCCTGGGTGGCAGGATAGTGGTAGACAAAATGACTCCTGTATATTATGAAACATCATCCTGGTCACGTGTCTACCACAGTGCTGGGTGATCAGAGGGCCTTGCAATGCCAGCTCCTCTCATCTCCAAGGCCAAGGCAGCTGTGATGACAGCCATTAATCGGTCCACCCAGCAGGGGCCCTCGACCTTCATGTCATGCAGAGAACCCTATAGCTGTGGGCAGCTGCTGGTAAATAAAATCCCTCGGGGGAAGGGCCCACCCAAGGTGATAGCTCTCTAATCTCAGGCTTGCAAACGGCTCTGTCCTTGGTGGGGATGATCACCTTCCAATGTGCTTGAGTTGGAAAGCGAAAGGTCCAGAGCCCCATGAGCGGGCTGGGATGTCTCCGGGAACAAGTGCCCAAGGTCATGTCTGAGATGACTGTTAAGGTTGAATTTGGGAGGCTGGGGGCCGTCTTTCAGGAGCATTGATCAGGTCTTAACCAAGTGTCTAAAGCTTTACAGGACTGAATCAGTCTGGCTCAAAGCTGAACTCTGCCACTCAGCGTGGGCTCAGATGGCTGCCTATCCCTTCAGAGCCGCAGACGCCATCGGTAAACTGGAAGTTGCCTTACTCGAAACCCTGAAACCAAATTGTACCTGCTTTTGTTTGTTGGCAGTTCCTGCTCTACAGGTATTTCCCTGGAAGTACCCCTCTCCCCAGACCTGTTCCCTCCCAACCTCTGCGCAGGAGGGAGGTGACCTCTTCCTGACTCATGTTACATAACAATTCTAACTCCTCAGTTTCTGCTTTGGAGCTTAGGTCACCGAGAAGTTTGACAAAAACCCCAGAGCCATCCTAGACCCTAGAGCTCCATGTGGATATAGAAAGACTTGAGGGCACTGCAGTGGATTTCTGGGTAGGGCTGATGTTCCATATCTGTCTAGAACCCTAATTAGGACCCTCTATTTTTATAACTACGAGCCACCTGGATCATCAGCCAGTGGCCCAGTGCAGCTGGGAAAGTGAAGACAGACCTATTCACACTGCTAGGGAGCTTTATATTCAAATGGGGACACTCTAACTGCTGCCTTTGTTGTTCAAAAAAAAGTTGTTTTCTTACTTTCAATCACTGGGCTGATGCTTCAGGTAGTCTGTATTAGGGGAAAAGATGACCGGTGAATATGGGTAGAGTACGGGCAGGTGAGCACCAAAGGGCTTCAGGTGAAGTGAGAGGGTCACCACAATGGAGGGTCAGGGGCTCTTAACCCTCCCTCAGGACTCAGAGATTTCCCCCTTCATCCTATGGGGAGTGGAGCTGCTGAACCAAGACTTTCCCCCTAAGTCATTAGCCCAAGTGTGAAGGACTTAGCAACAAAGGTTTGAAATAAACCAAACAAGACCCCCAAAGCTGGGTAAACACACTCTGTGGTCAGCAGCGCCTTTGTGGGTTTTTGTAGTTAGTATGTACTCCTTTAGAAATTGCCAACCAGTCACTACTGGATTTGCTAGTTGCTCATTCTCACCCACCCCTACACACACACACACACACAGAGAGAGAGAGAGAGAGAGAGAGAGAGAGAGAGAGCCTGAACAGTAGTGTCAGATGGGGTAGGGTAATAGGTCAAGTTCAGAATCTGAGCTGGAGCCTGAGAGAGGCCATTCCCCTCACAGCTAGGAGCAGAGTTTAGCCTTAGTGTGTGTAAAGAAAAGGTAAGTAGGAGCGTGACATAAATGACAGTTACCGGGGTGTCAACACTTGCTTCAAAATGAAGACAAAAATAAAAACATGAAATTGTGGCACAGAAGGAGGAAAACCCCACCAACAACCTGGCAGTGGAAAGAGTCAAAAGAAATGGGGGAGTCTGCCCCATCCCCAGAATTGCAGGAATCTGCCCTGGCAATGTCTGTCCCCTGGATGCAACTTGTCCTATCACCACCACCACTGCCAGCCTCCCCTCAGAGTCACCTCCTTCCCTCTTGCAGGCACACAGCTCCCTGACGAGTCACCTGACAAGTCGCCCCTATAACCCCCAGCCTGCAGCTGAGATCAAGACCAGAAATGTGTCCTCGGCAAGCCTGGGCGTGAAAGGTTGCAAGCATTAACGCACCTAGAGCAAGACTGGAGACCCAAGCAGAGGTAAAGGGATAGGGTGCCCGAGTGGGGAGGCCCCCGGACAGGTGATGGATGAAGAGCGTAGCGTGCGACCCAAGCAGTGCGGCGCCGAAGCCGCTTCATTCACTCTCCAACCCAGTCCTGCAGATCCTCAGAGAGCACCCCGCTGGGTTTCAGGGAGGCGCCCACAGCAATTCAGCTGTGTCCCGTGGGGCGGTGGACCCGGGCGTGGCCGGTGGCCGGTGGCCGGAGCTCCGCCCTCCCACAGCCAGGGCTCTCCAGCTTTTAACCCGCGCGCGAGGGCGCCGCGGCCACTGGGCTCTGCGGAGCGAGCGAGCGGTCAGCGCGGAGCCGGAGGCGCGCGTGTCCAGTCCCAAGGCCGACGCCAGCTCGCAAGCATGGCCCCGGCAGCGGCTTCGGGTGGCAGCACCCTGCCCAGTGGCTTCTCGGTCTTCGTCACCTTCCCCGACTTGCTCTTCATCTTTGAGTTCGTGAGTGATAGCGCGCCCGGGCGCTGGGGAAGGGACGGGGTGGGTTGAGCTGTTCGCTCCGTCGGGGGCTCCGCACCGCTGACCCCGGCCCCACCTGCAGCATGGAGGGGACCAGATCAGGAAAGTTCTCCCCACGTCTCACAACGGATTGGTTCCGTTCTAAAATAACGGGCTGATCTCCCAGGCAGGTGCGAAGAAGCCTCCTCCCGCTTTGCTCCTCTCCGAGCGCAACTTCTTACAAGGTGCCGGGCTTTTCCCACCGAGCGCCCTTCCGAGTAAACAAACCCAACCAACGAACCCCTCCATGCTGTCGGCAGAGATTCGGAGAGCAAGAGAAGCCAGGCTCTTCAGGCCGGTTGTGGTTTCTGGAAAGGGAATACCTCTGTGACAGATTTGCTGGGGGGAGAGGGGTGGGGAGGATAAGAAAAACAGTGGCTGCCGTTCGCTCCGTTCCCTCGCGGTTCCTGCGCCCTGTGTGAGGGGAGGGAGGGGGACTGGGAGACAGGTGAAGTCCGGTGCCTGTTTTGGCTGACCTTGGGCTGAGTTCTCCCCAGCCTTACCTCGGGAAGTTTCCTGTTGTGAGCTCCCTGGGAAAGCGTTACAAGGCTTCAGACCTCCTTAGGTTTCAAGTCCCCAGGGGATCCTCTGGGTTTGTTGATTGTGTGGGTGTGGAGACAACATTTCCTGTGCTCCCACCACGCAGAAGCCTTTGGGTGGAACATTGTCTTGGGTTAAAAAAAACAAAAAAACAAAAACCCAACGTAGCAGGTGATTTTAAGAACTGGATCCCGGCTTCTGACTGCTTGGTTGTTGAGATGGGAGGAGGATGTGGACGCCAAAGACAGTAAAGTAGGCTCCCTCACCCAGGGATGTCACCGAGACTGAGATGAGTCAAGCCAAGCCTCACCACTTACACCGAGTCCTCACCATTTATACCAAGCCTCACCACTTATACCGAGGCCCAGAGCTGGGTTGGACTTGCCTAAGGTCATCTAAGTCTTTAGCAATGGGTTACTCCTCAGAATTTTAGAGGGAGTTACAGATGCCTGACCAAAAGAGAGCATGTGAGCCTGAGGTGAGATGGGCCAGAGAGGTTTTTAAGGGAAAAAAAAAAATGTTAGTCTCTAGTAACTGCCAATCATGACATAAAATGGCAGCTGGGCTTCACGCTTCTTTGCAAAGACTCTGGTTGTAGCCTCCCCCTCCCGCCCCCCAGTGTGTCCTCCACTCCTCTATGTGGTAGTAGGATTTCTAGGGTTCCCTCTTGACCAGAGACCCAGAGGTGATGGTTGTAGGGCACCAGAAACTTGCAGAAGGCCACTGGCCTCATCAGTTTTAGATGTTTGGTTCTGTGATACATGAATTTCACCTCAATTTTAAAAAAAATTAGAAAAATTTCAAGAACAGAAAAACATACACAGAACTTATCGAGCGCCCATAAAATTATTCCCCAACTTTCTCCATTCCCCCCCCTCTCCCCTTCTTCTTGGCATTAAGGGGCAACGCGAGCTGACGTGTTGTCTCTCTGGCCCTTACATTGTCCTGTGTCCATTCTCCATCCTCAGGAATACCCGAGGCTGAAAATGTTGGCCCCTTCCGCCCTCTTCAGCCTCCACTGAGTACATAAGCATGAGCAGGGTGCTGTTTTATGGTTTTACGCTTGTGATGATCGCAGTGGGTGTGCCCCTTTGCAGCTCCCATCACGCTTTGAGATTTATACCCTGTTACCAGTTTGTTTGTTTTCCCCCCACTTTTCCATTGTTGGATATTTTGGCTGTTTCCAGTTTGTTACTCTTAGCTGCTGCAGATGACCCTGCCAGGGACATTCTTGTAATTCTTGCTGGGTATTTCTCCTTGAATGCATGGAAATCTGGCTGCAGGGTCACAGGGTGCGAACATCTCTGTTCCTCATTTGTCACCACCCTGCTATCCCAAAGGGTCAGTCATTCTGATTGACGCATCCCAACAACAGACGTCCAGGAAGCTTATCCGGCCTCTAAGATTGAGACCAACACCCCCTCGAGTCTCTCCTGAGATCCTGTTTCACTATACTAGGACCCCAGAATTGTACACCAAGATTCAGGCTAACCCTGGGCCTCCTCCACGCTCACCAGTAGCATATGAAAGTCTCCATTGTTCCTCGTCCCTGTCATTCTTGGTAGCATCGGCCTTTGTGATATTCTGCTCATCCTGCGGGTGCAAAACGCCTGATTCTTTTTCAGCTCTGTAGCTTGAGTAGGGTTCAGTTTCCCATGCCTGCACTCTCAAGAGCCTGGGGGGCTGCATGATGTCCAGGGCCAACAGTTTGGAGCTACCCCCCTCTCCAGACAGGGGAGAACAGGAAAAGATGGCAACTCCCAGTAGGGCTGGCATCCTTAGCCTTCCTTGATGCTCCTGCCCCAGAGCCCCTGATCTCTGTAAGTGACCAGGGAAGTGAAAAGCAGGCCCAGTTCAGTAGGAGACCATATCCTTTTGATAATCTCTAGAGCCACAGGCAGTGAGGAGACAGCTCCAACCGTCTAGACCCAGGGGTGAAATATTAAAAGTTCTCCCCTTCAACGCTGCAACCCAGGACATCGCTTCTGGTCTTATCTGCAGAAAAGTTGCTGAACAATAAGTCATTTTTCCTTCTGTAGCCGTAAGAATCTGTTGGCTTCTTCCCTCTCCTTCTTCCTCGTCCTCCCTTTCCTTCTCCCTCTCTGTCCTCCTCCTCCTCCCCTCCCTTCTAAGCCAGATGCTTCATGACACTGAGGCCACAGTTGCTGGGAAGGAAAGTTAACATGAATGCTTTTAATTCTTAGATGGGCCAAGCCTTGCAGAGGCAATTTCTTCCACAAAGTGCTGGGAGAGAACCCCACCACTTCTGCCCTTACAAAACTGGGACAGATGTGCTAGAAAGGCCATGAACACCCCACCTATCCCCTCCTCAAGAGATGGGTTGGCATCAAGAATGGGTAGAAGTTCATGGACAAAACTTCCTGGAGACGAGTGTGCTAGGAGCCTGGTGTGATGATTCATATCTGTAATCTCAGTCAAGAGCCATGATTTTGAGGCTAGCCTGGACTACATAGTTATACTCTGTCCCTTTAAAAAGGGGTGCTAGGAATTCCAAGAGTGGCTGTTTACAGGCCCCTATACACCTTAGAAGTGTGGGGAAGGAAGCAGGGTTAGTCTCTGGTGACAACTGGTCCTTGCTGAGTCTATATTTAAGGGTGGAGGCAGGGTGAGGGGCCCACTCGGAAATGGCTTACAGTATTGGCTCCAACATTGAGCTGGACCTGGTAATTATTAAAATGATGGCTTTTATGGCTCTCAGAATAAAGAACTTTTTATTGTTTGAAATGACTAGGGAGGTCCTTGTTTCTCACCTGGCTGAGGTAGAGTCAGCCTCACACTAGCCATGGTTGGTTCATGAGATGATGGAGTGGTTTTCTGAGTGCGTCAAGAAGCCAGTCTGCCAGAGCACAAAGGATGCCGAATCACAGACCCTGAATTTGCATGTTATGGTAGAAACTGAGGCCCAGATCGAAAGCCACTTGCCTAGGTAGGAGGAGCTGTTATTCACACCAAAGGTGTTTGGGAACAGGTAACTCTATCCGCTTGGCAGTTCTCTCTCACCCATTGGGAGATGGAGGGACAGCTCAGAGTCACTGGGTGGCCACAACGCCACCACTACTTAAACATATATTCCATGGGTTCTTAGTCACTACACCCAAGGACACTAAGCCCACTGACTCAGTGGGTGTGGCCATATGTAATCCAGGCCACCCTTCATGAACTTTTTAAGAGTGCATAGAATAATGTGTGGTGTTGTGTGTCCTGTGTTGTGGGCTCTTCCCTGAGTTCGTTAGCAGGGAGTGCTGCCGAATTCTGTCCCAGCATTCTACTCCTCTCCTCTAAAGGCAGAATTATAGAGGTCTGGGGAGAGGTGTCCTTGGCTTCGAGAAGTGACTTTTCCAGTTTTTCAAGGCCCAGTGGCCTGCTTTGATCAGGAGTCGGTAACTGAGCGGGGCCTCGGTCATCACCTTGGAGTGAAAGGCACCTTCCCTGCCTGGGAGAAGGAGGACCCACAAAAAGCAATGCTGGGAGGGGAGAGAAAGCTCAGCTCGCTGCTGGGGGTTTGTGCCTGTATCTGTGGGACAAGTGCTGCACATCCGGAGAATGCCTGCACTTGGCTCTGGCACCAAGACCCGTCACTGAGAGAAAGGACCAGGATGGGCATTCGAGCAGCGGCCAGCCAGTCCTGAGCCAGATGGAGCCAGAGGTTGACTCTTGTTGAATTAAATACCTTTTGGGCAGGAGACTGCGGTTAAGATCTCCCCAGCAAGGCCAGTCTCAGTCTTCCTCCTAAGAACCCACGTTATCTGTCCCTGGGTCTGGCATGACTTGAGATCTGCAATCCTAGGAGAAGGTGCTAGTGAAATAAATACTCTTCTGGGGTCACTGAATATGAAGCAAAGCACCATGGGGGAGGGTGGCTGACCCCCTTCCCATGGCTTTAGATTAATCCCAAGAGTAAGGAGCAGAGAGCAGGTCCCTGGTGCTCTCTAAACCATAATGCTTGGGTCCTTCTTTTTGCTGACAGGAAGGCTTAGTTTTCTGAGAGCTTCTGGCTGGGCATCAGTAGTGGCATTTCCTAGGGTTATTAATTCACTCCCTGCCTCACAGCCTCAGGCTCTGTGCGATTACTACCTCACATGTGGGTAGTTTTCTACCCTTATCTGGGCAGAACAACCCCAGTGTGGCTCGTAGGAACACACCAAGGTCCTCGGGCCTGCAGAATGTCAGAAGAGCCTCGTTGTGAGTTGTGACAGGTCAATATGATTGGGCAGAGGAAAGAACCCATGGGACACAGCCGAGCAGGACAGGTCCCTGTGAAACTCTTGGTTCAACTTCCAAGGAGGTCCCTGAAGGCCAAGGGACAGGTTTCAGAGGGTGAGCACCTCAGAGAAAGGCCAAAGATGACATCCTCTACTAGAGAGTGGGCACCTCAGAGAAAA